GACCGCCAGTAGAAAAGGATACCGCTATGGTCTTCGGGGCGCGCTCAAGAGCAACTTCGGTAGACATTGAATTGGGGGTGGATATGGCTATTGAGGCCCAACCCAGATATACATCCGGGCAACCTCTCGAGCCGCTAGATAACGCGTCTCGCGAGTCTTCGAATCTGACGCTCGTTGGGCCTGGTCAGACATAGTATAATTACATATACCTCATAATGATCTGCACAACCATCTCCCCAGACATCTTGACGCCCTCGGCGTCAGCATTTGTGGCGTGGAGCGCCAGGAGTAAGGCGCGAACTGCGCGATAAGCAACGAGCGACGACACCAGGACCGGGCATCGCGGGCTTCATCCTGTAGGCCGCAGAGCGCTTTCCAAAGCTTGCATACGGCAAAAGATTCAGAGAACAAGGAACGAACTCGCCTGAACGCCTCGGACATCCTCAAAGCGCAAAGAACTTGACCTCAAAACCCGACTCGAAGTCCGGCCCTACCGGGTCGAAGCCCGACCACGCCGGGGCGCTCTTTGCCGGCATACGCAGACGCTCGCGCTTCTCGTCTTCTCCCTCCGTTACAACCCGGGGACTTCGTGAAGATGACCATCGCCCAGAGCTTGTCTAGACGTGTGTTCGCACCGGTCTACCTCCCTTCTCGAACTCACACGACGTGAACCCAGCCCCACGAAGTCTGATCGCACGAGCTACCGAATAAGCGCCGCACAGGAGAGAGCAAGAAAGAACTGGTATAACCGCAGACGAAGCAGAAGAGTGGTAGAAGTACAGAGGTTTGAATCGACGGATGGTAAGCAACGTCCAAGCAACGACAAGGAAAAGATAACGACAGCGATCCGCAATCAAGCAATGAGTAGGGAGGTGTGGGTGAGTGTGGGAGGGCATGTACGACGGAGAGTGTCACGCGGGTCGATCAGGCGGCGCTTCACGAGAAGCCTAACGCAACTCAAAGCTAGCGCTCACGCTCTGCGGGACATGCTGAAGCGAGAGCTGCTGGTACCTAAACAAGGCGAAATGTGAGACAGTGAAGGGAGCAACGGCGCAGGTCATACGCACGGTTCGGAGTGCTGGTGGAAGTAGAATCCGCTCATGGTCGCCGCCACAGGCGCCCCGCGAGCGCTTGAAGATACGGAGCGGTCCATTGGCGCCGGCGCGTCTGCTCGAATGCTGCGGGTGCGAGCGCGACGCGGGGACGCATCGGGCTTGGGCGCCGGTGGGAGATCCGCGCGTTCACGGACAGGCGAGGTCGGCGTCTGGGAGGGCAGCGACGCGGGGTGAGCGTTGAAGTCTACGCAGACGTAGTAGAAGCCTAAACGTGATCAACGGCCGAGCGCCACTGCGTCAGTTGACGTAGTGCCGATAAGGCAAGCGCGTTGCGTACCTGCGAAGCTCGCGCCGTTGATGTCTTGTACCCTGTGATCGGGAACGAGGAAGCGTTCTTTCCAGCGCATGAACACCGCGTCAACGGGCGCGTCGGTCGTGAGGAGCGGGCCCTTGAGTTTGTTCTTCACGTGCCGGAAGGCGGGGAAGCGCCCCCAGTGAACCATATCCTCCTCGTCCTCAGCGTCCCACTTGCGTGTGAGGAAGCCATGTCGAGTGCCGATAATCTCGGCGTCAAAGTAGGTTGTCATCTCGGGCCAGTCGTCGGTCAGACCCTTGATGCACAGGTATCCGCACAGGTGCGAAGCAGCAAAGTCGACGTCCTGTGAAAGTTCGCGTTAAGGTTGATATCAGGAGGCGCTTAATCAAGCCCGAGGTGCACGTACGACTATCGTCACTTTCACGTCGTAGCTGTTGCGCCCGCTCTTCTGGGTGCCCTCGAATATGGATCCGGGGTACAGGCAGTGGTGCGCCTGTTGCTTGATGCGGAGCCGGGAGATATCGACGAATGGGTCCGGTGCAGGTGGTGTGTTGGGCGTGTACGTGGCCTGAGGGCGCTTCTCGTGCACAGGAGAATACTGTGAAGGCGATAAAGGGGAGTTGAAGTACGCCACAGGCGATGAGGACGAAGCTATGGGGCTGGAGCCGTCGGAGAACAAAGATGAAGAGCGAGACACCGGTATCTCCAGAGGTTGTACGGTCAGTGCGGTCGAAGAGTAGCGGCGACCGGTAGACGCGAAATTCACGGGCTCGTCGTTCAGCGACAGTGAGCGCAACATAAGCGGGGAGGACTGCGGGGGTGTCGGCCGACCAACGACGTCAGTCAGGGAGTCGGTAGTCGTCACTGTCGGCCTGCTTTGTCGCGCACGAGGCGAGGTAGAGTGTTGTGTCTGCGGTTGTGTCTGCCTGGAGGGACCCTCGCGGCAGTATGGGCAAGATATAATAGTTTCGGGATAAGCAAGCGATAGCAGGTCGTTCTCCAGCGGGTTCAGCGGGTGTTCGCATCTCGCGCAGACTTTGGCAGCCTGTACGGGCTGGACGTCGTGTGCGATGAGTGCAGGAGTGGGAACGTGCTCGGAGGGCATCGTGGGCAGCAGGCGAAGGAGGTGCGTGGGGGTCAAGGATCAAGTAGCGGACGGGGCCAATGGGTGTGCACCTTCTAATGTTCTCTCGATCAAACCGTCAAGTGCAGCTATCCCTTTCCCTCGGCCTTTAACTAGCGCCCAGCCTCCATGCCGCTCGCATACCGTGCAGGCATCCGGTTTACCGTATTTGATACGCTCATCGGTGCCGGCATCTCTGCATGTCCAGATTGATCCCCTTTCCCCGCGGTGAAGCGCTCAAAGGCTGTCTGATAAACAAGGCGCCTGTTGTACATCGCATCTCCTACCTCACAGCGTTTCGCGATACACGAGCTCGCAACGGCGTTCCGTCCAGCAGTGACCAATGGAAGCAGACATAGGAGGCTTCTCCCCGTGCATTGGGCCACCTGTAATGGTCACAAAGCTATGCTGTACTCGCCTGCGCCCCGGCCACAGCGCACAGCGTTATTCGGTTGAATCCTCGGGCGCAGCAACAGGACATGCCGTCCTAGTTTTGAGTAACCGTGCGTACTCATGATGTGGACTGCTATAATTGACTCGGCCGCGCGAAGCTGTATCGGCGTAGAGATGTGGCAGATACGCTAGGGACTTCCGAGGGATCAACAAGTGATTTGTTGGTTGTTCGAAACGCCGTCTACGCGTCGCGTTTGGCGCCCATTCAACGACGCAGTCTATCAGTCCGAGCCATTCCGATCCCATCTATCCGTGTAATCTATGGGCCTCTCACCCGTATCACATCTTTGTGGCTCGAGCTGTCATGATTTCGGAAATCTTTGACCACCTCCCGGCACCAGAGATGTCAATGTATGGAATCCGCTCACCGTCCGAGAGGCTGCGGTGTACAGACATTCTCGAGCAGTACGAATGGAAGTCACGGCGACTGAGTACATACCCCGAAGGTTTGTCGGATATGGCTTGGTGCCGTTGCTGCGTAGGGTCGGAGTGCTAATGGGCATTGTAGGCGCGCAAAGCAGGTCCCGATCCGGTGTGCGCGCCAGTCGACGCCTCAAAGGAGATACTTAGTGGGCTTGACGGCTGCGCTATCCTGACCGTGTCTACGTGCCTTGGACCAACCCCGATACTGTGCAATAACCGGGGCTAAATATGTGCAGCGACTTCCGCATTTGAAAGGAAGATCATGATCCAATGGGACAGAGGTGATCTCGAAGCCGGCTCGAACGACGCGCAAGTCGTTGAAGACCGGCTTATCAACGACAAGCCGCTCGACTTACCAATGCGTTTGTCAAGACAAGCGACTGACAATGGCATGTCACGAGCAGCAATTGCCCTTTGGGCTTCATCGTCTTGAGACCGCGAACGCGGGTCAGATAGACCGCAGTGTGCAGAGAGAAGCTGAGGTATGCTTACGGTGCTCTCCGATATCCTCATACAACTCCAGATGTCCCTCAAACCCATGTTATCAGACACATATACGGAAACCGCAGAGCTACCCTGTCTCCGGCTGGCTGCCTCAAGCAAAACAGAACGTCGACGAGGCAGACCTGCGATTGGTGACTCCACTCTCCCCAATCAGCGACCTCAGCGCCAGCGCCCACTACGAGTCCACATTTTAAAACACGTACAACAGTACCTCGACATCCGAATTCCGACCTCGTATAATGGTATCATGAAACCTCCCCCACGCAGAACACACATTTCATCTCAGCGCTGTCCACTCCAGGCGCTGTCCGGTGATTGGTCCCGATATTCAGAGTCCGGCATTGTACAATGGTACCATGAAACGTTCCTCACACCAGTCACATATTTCATTTCAAAGTATCTAATACAGGCGCTCTACGGTAAGTGCCCATGGCAGAGCCGCGCGGCCGTCTTCACACCGCCACAGCCGCCGAGAAGATCCCACCGAAGTACGCTTCCAGCCCCTCAGACCCGCGTAACAGGGCGCCGACGACACCGTCAGGCCGTACGACGGCCACCGCTGCACTGCCATACGCACGGCGAGCGTGGCCCGCAGTATCGTCGTACGCACCGGGCAGACTTGCGCCCGATGCATTGAAGACGATTGTGCGAATGAGGTCTGAGGGGAAGCGTGTGAGCACCGCTGATACGGCGTCGACGAGCGCCGGCTCGAAGACGAGCACCGTATGGTGCGTCGCACCGAAGATGTCGTAGAGCGCGGTCGCCTTGCTATTCACGCCGACGAGCTCAGGCGCATCCGGGGCCCGGTCACCGGCACGAAGCATCTCATCAGCGCCACTCGTGGCATAGGCGCCCGCACCGTCCGCCGTCTTGATGCCTGAGTTGACCTCGTCGCGAACGACACTGCTCCAGCGGTAATGCATCGCGAGCTGTGTGCCGGCACGCGAGCGCGTCCATGCCGATGACTCTGCGCCGATTTTGAAAGTCTGGGTCGCGATACCGTTCGTGAACTGGAGCATGTCCGAGACGACGGACTTGCGCTCTTCTTCGTAGGTATTGAGGAGCTTGTCTGTCGCGACGCCTTTGATGACGGCCACGAGCTTCCACGCGAGGTTCATAGCGTCCATCGCGCCCGTGTTCAAGCCCTGTCCGCCGAGGGGCGAATGAACGTGCGCGGCATCGCCGGCGATGAAGACGCGTCCGGCGCGGAAGCGATCGACTATACGGACGTTCATGCGCCACTCTTGCAATGTGAGGACTTTGCCGACTGTGATATCGTCTTGTTTAGTCACGGCGCGAATGTACTGCTGCAGATAGGAAGTGTCGGAGGCGCCGCGTTTGAGGTCGAGGTCGGGCCCATGGGAGGAGAGGAAGAAGACGTTGGGTTTCTCGGGAACGGCGCGGGCGCGGATCCAGTTCGAGTTGGCGTCTTGGAACTTGTGCCAGTGCTACAAGAGGCATATTAGTGATTGGGCACCATCTATCAGGAGGGATGTACTCACCACACGGTCGAGACTACCGAATAGCTCAAGGTCGCCGACCAACATCCCGATCTCCTCACGCGACACACCGAGGAATGGTATACCAACGAGCTTGCGCGTCGGGCCTTTCGCGCCATCAGCCGCAACGACATACGCCACACGGATATTCTCCGAGATACCATCGTGGAGGAGAGTTGCGATCACGCCCGCATCATCCTGCTCGACCTTCACGAGCTCCATGCCGGGCTCGACGGTAACGCCGTACTTCCCCAGTTGCGCCCGGAGAACGGCCATAGTATCCTCCTGCGCGACGCGCTTCCCGTTCGGAATAGGCGTGTCCGGTGTTGGCTCGACGCGCGCCATCATCTGAGACACGCGGAGCTTTTTCCCATCCTGATTCCACTCGAGCACATCGGGATACTCGTGCGCCACCTTCATCATCTCGTCGTAGATGCCGAGAAGGCGGTAGGCTTCGAGTGTACGAGGAGATATGCCCGAGCCACGCTGGCCGACGGCGAAGTCCTTCGCTTTGTCCACGACGCGGACGGAGATGCCATTCTGAGCGAGTGCGAGTGCGGTGATGAGTCCGACTGGACCGGCACCGATGACGAGGACGTTTGAGAGCTGAGAAGACATGCTGGATTGGTCTTGTTGAGAGTTGATCGAGAAGGGAAGATAGATGCTGGGCACCCACCTCGACTTCCTTGGTTTTGTATTCAATCGCTGAGCTATAAAAACATCCTTCCGCATCTCCGGTGACGACTTGACTCCCCACGGGCAGCAAGTCCGGAATATTGTCCGGGATCATCTATACCGTCGTATAGGCATGCTGCCGACGGAGATGAAGACATTGGTGCCGCGATGATTGGGTGGCGAAAGTGTCTTGTTGGAGGCTAGAATACTGTAGCATGCGCCGAGCGACCGTCAGGGTGCGCATTTGCGGAAAATATCACCGTTGACTGCTATTGAGCTGGCCTAAGTAAAGGTGGAACTTGTCATCCGGATGACTTCTGTGCAGCAAAGCAGTAACACGCGAGATGGCTGCCAGAGCTGGATCCGATATGAAGAGCACTCCGGCTGTGGAGGTTATCGTGACAACATAGTTGCAATGTCATTCATCTCGCATTCTTTCGTCCTACAGTAGATATTGAATTCGCCTGCGAAGAGTGCCCAAGCTATGCAGCACTTCAGACGCGAGCGCAGCGTGACCATTGTTGAACTTTACGGCAAGCCGGCGGCGGGCTGAAACGATGGGGTGTGGCGAAGATCGACAGCTATCGACAGCCGTCAAGAGGCTGACAGCGAGCGAAGTAGCAATATATAAGCGCATAAGCCTCGGCATGTTCGCATTGCTCCACAAGAATGGAGAGCTTGAGTCTGGCATAGAATATGACCACCCAAGGTAGCCGACGAGGCACTGGATAGTGGAAGTAGCGGACGAAGAGTGGGAGTCGGTCCAGGCCCGGTGCGGCGCGCGAGGCGGGCCTGGCGTCCAGTGATCCGAAGACACATGGGGAAGTGGGAAACGCAGCAGCGCGCGTTCTGAGCTCGAAGCTTCAAGCTCTCCCGACGACGACCTCACTGTCTGCGCCTCCTCGGCCGCACAGGCCTACCTTCATTTCCTTCCTTTATTCAGCCCCACCACCATGTCTACCCACTCCCAGTCGTCCGCGAACGTCGTCGGCGTACATTATCGCGTCGGCAAGAAGATCGGCGAGGGCTCTTTCGGCGTCATCTTTGAGGGTCCGTCAATATATCCAGTTCACTTTGTCGTGCAAAGGTGCTCACATATCCCACAGGTGTCAACTTGTTAAACCAGCAGCCCGTGGCCATCAAGTTTGTGCGTCGTGAGAGCTCATGAGCTCAGGAAAGTATGTTTTGACTTTATGTCCGCAGGAACCGCGGAAGGCAGAAGCACCACAACTCCGAGACGAGTGTCGTTCGTATCGTATTCTTGCGGGATGTGGTGCGTGCTCTTATATCCTTTGTAATTTTGCGTCCGCCGTTGTCTGACTTCATCTCTGCGCTGCGCAGCCGGTATACCCCAAATATACCACTTCGGACAGGAAGGGCTTCATAATATTCTTGTCATCGATCTACTCGGACCGTCTCTCGAGGATCTATTTGATATGTGCGGCCGCAAGTTCTCCGTCAAGACCGTCTGTATGGCCGCACGGCAGATGGTGCGCCCTACCTCGAGCTTCTTGCGCCTCCCACTCACCCACGCGTTCATGTGCAGCTCTCACGCGTGCAAACCATCCACGAGAAGAACCTCATCTACCGTGATATCAAGCCAGACAACTTCCTCCTCGGTAGACCTGGCACGAAGAACGCGAATGGTGTGTATGAGAACCTATGAAGTCATTGCTCTAATCTGATATCGTAATTCAGTTGTCCACGTCGTCGACTTTGGTATGGCAAAGCAATACCGGGATCCCAAGACGAAGCAACACATACCCTACCGCGAGCGCAAGAGCTTGAGTGGTACCGCACGATACATGTCCATCAATACCCATCTTGGCCGAGGTGCGCTCTTTATCCGCATACCGCACATTGCGCAGCAGGCGGCTAAAGTTGAACTTGCGATGCAGAACAGTCAAGACGAGACGATCTGGAGTCGCTCGGCCACGTCTTCATGTACTTCCTGCGAGGGAGCTTACCATGGCAAGGCCTTAAAGCCGCTACCAACAAGCAGAAGTATGAGAAGATCGGCGAGAAGAAGCAGACGACCCCAATCAAGGAGCTGTGCGACGGCTTCCCTGGTACGTTTTGACACATTCGTGCCACACTTCGACCTAAGGTCGCTGAACGTCAATCAGAGGAATTCAGCATCTATTTGAATTACGTGCGCAAGCTCGGCTTCGAGGAGACGCCCGACTACGACTTCCTCCGGGAGCTCTTTGCGAAAGTGTTGAAGAACAGTGGTGACATCGAGGATCATGTCTACGACTGGAACCTGTTGAACAACGGTCGTGGATGGGACTCCTCATCACAGGTAAATCATCGCTCTCTATGGCCGCCATCAATCTGTGTATACTGATGCGTCTGTCAGATGCCCGCACAACCAAGCGCTGTCGCATCACCGCGCAAGGATGTTCAGAGACACGAGTCGGAGAGGCGACGGCTGCAGGCGCCGCACACACCAGGCGGTGGTGCAACACCGCTGTCGGCCGCTGCGCACGTCAACGTGCCGGTATCAGCGGGCGGCAGGAATGGGCATCCGTACGCGACGGGCGGTTACGACTCGGGAGTATACCGCAGCAACGGTGCTGTACCGAGTGACGGTGCACCGAGCGCAGCGTATGGGCGTGCATCACCCATGGTTGCCAGTGCGGCGCCGCCTGCTGTCAGCCATGCGCACGCGCGCGGGCAGGACATCGGGCAGGACATGGACCACCCACCAAGCGGTGGTTTCTGGGCATGCTGCCGATGCGGATAGACTATCTCCCGCCTTGTTCCCCGGTTCCCCTCTGCTTCTTCACGCCTCGCACGACTTGAACGACCCCGGACAATGCAACACTCTACTTGCGTCTCCTCGGTACCCTACTATTCCCCGCCCGGTGCTGGTCCGACAATTGCCTTCAAACAAATAGATACCCTTCGCCTCTGCTTACCTCGTAGTCTTCAATTTACAATCATCACCCTCACCCCAACCCATTCTCCCATCATCCCCCTCGCCGTCGTCGTTTTTCTGCGCTGCGCTAATCTGGTCTGATCATGGTACTCGGCTTTACTGGCTTAGCTTGTTCTGCCCCATCCGAACTCCGTCGTCCTTCACTCTTGGGTTTTCAGCTTTCAGCTATATCGATATCGTTCTGCTATGCAACGCACGCTCTTTTTCCCCTCGGACCTGTTGTGTGTGAGCGGCGCCGATCTCAATGTGGCATGTGTGCTGCCTGTCAGGGCTTCGTTAATGAAGGGGCGCGTTGTGGCGTGGACAACGAAGGTAATATGGTGGATGGGGCGCAAGCGATGAAGCGAGGATAAACCGCGTTTGTTCCCTTTCTGTATGAGCTTGGTATGAGCTGTCAACAGGTCTGTTGCCAGGCGGCGAAGTTGGCTATAGATGGCAAGGCCAATGCTACACCGAGACGAGCCCATCTTCAGCCCGTACTGCGAAGATCCGCTCATCCATACGGCCGCACCGTGTTGTCTGGTACGTTGCAGATGACCAGGCATGAGACGGCAACGCGCCGTGTAGCTTGATCTAGCGGTGGACCCCATGAATCCTAAGAAGCAGCTCGAAGCAGTAGGAGGTGTGTTCAACGTTGCGATACGGCCGTCCCGTCGAAGTGGCGTCGTCGTCGACCCAACAATCTGGTCCAGGGTCGGCCGCATGTAGACCAAGGAGCAGCGTACACCTTCCTATCTGTGAAGAGCCATCCGAGACGGTCAAGCTTGCCGGCGTGCAACGAGGCATCAAGCATTCGCAACTTCGCCGCCAGCACCACTCTTCTTCGCGGGACGCTCAACCAGGCGCATGCTCGTGAGTTCCCTTCTTCCGAACGTTGTCGGTTACAGTCCTTTGACAGTCCTTGAGTACTAGCTCTCTAGATATTATAGCAGTTTCCAGGCAGCAGAGGGGCGAATGCGCGCTGAAGCGGCCGGTCGCAGACTTGAAGTACTAGCATACAGCCACTGAGCTCATGAAGTTACATGCTTACATGGTATGTAGCCTTCCAATACGTGTGCCTGATTCATCCCCGCCAGCGTTCCGCAGAAGAGAAGAAGAAGAAGGTCTCGATGGCGCAAGACCGCAAGCAAGCATCGTGGCTCAGGTAGCTTGAGAAGAAGAGAGCCATTAGTGGAATGTTTTCAATTGCACGCTGTGTGTCCCGCTGTTGCCTGCAGGCATCATCTGTAGGACCGCGAGGCTGACTTTGAGCTCAGCGACGCCGCCATTATGGACATACTACGGAGTTGGGATGCTTGTTAATCCCGAGGATGGGCGCCTCACGAAATGAACTTCACGCTGTGGCATATAGGCTGCCCTCGGGTCTCGGCAGAACCCCCGCCTCGCTGCAGATGTGTACAGGACCCCAGACGCACCCCGCCAACCTCCAGCACCATCGTGCCGACGCGCCGCCGGCCACTCCACCGAAGCTGCCTCACTTGACCGCTCTCGGAATGGAGACCCGAGGCATGGAAGCTGGATTGCATGGGATCCATGGAAAGATCAGGGCTCCGTTACAGGTGCAGCGAGTGATGTAGGTTGACTCGTGGTAAGATCCCGATACGTACCGGGCCATCCGCACAATAGGCAGCGACAATCGATGATTCTGTGAGATCTGGGTCCCTGATGAAACCTGTAAATTCATGTGTGGCCCTCCAATTTTGGATGACGGGCAGGTGATGGAGGCTTTAGGAAGGGCTAACTCCTTATCGTATGCCATTGTATGCGCTGTTTCATCCCGCGGAATGACATTTGGGACCCGCCCTATCATGGCCTTGCATATGTACAGTTACGTGACGATGAGGTGGAACGAGGAGAAGGACGAGGAGGGGGACAAGTGGAGGGCCGTTCAGGGCCGGCGGCATTCCCAGGCCATTCACTCTATGAGGATTAGCTTCACATTTACGCAAACATGAAACGCCGAACAGACCGACACAGCCGCTAGTGTTGTGCTCTTTCTGGAGGCGCGCAGCATGTCATACAAACAATTGCGCGGCATGGATGAGAAGCAAATGAGAAGCCGTTCTCGAGAGGCATCCACCTGGAGATGAACGTTATCATTGATTCTAGGGGTACAGCACCGCGAGGGACTAAGCAAAAGAGATGGCAATCGATACAGTATGAGAATCCAACTGAGCGAAGAAGATGATCGGTACAGGATGGCGGTGAACTTCGGGAGCGCTTTGGGCAAAGACAACACGAGGGTGGGTATACTCGTACACAGCAAACGAACAGCAACCTAGGAGAAGCAAGGCATAGCAAAGGTATCGCATAGTCATGAGGATAGTTGGATTCAAGGTCCAGATGAGTCGAGAGGAGAGGAGAGCGAGTAGAGGTGCATACGGAAGCGATACAGAGAAAGCGGGAAGAATGTGCGATAACGTTGTATGGTCAGAGCTAGTTGCCGATGCGATCCTGCAGTTGGCGCGGGTGCTGTGAGGGATGCGGCTGAGCGGGGTATTGCTGGCGACGCGGGCGAGACTGGAAGGGACCCTGCTGAACAGATGGGCCCTGCTGCCATTGTGGGCGCGCAATCGGAGGCGGAGGCGGTTGCTGCATGTACTCTTCCCCACCGTACTGAGGATGCATGTCCGGCTGGAAGGAGCGCTTGACACCCCGAGGCGGAGGCGGGCCGCCGATGTTCATCGCGGGTGGGGAAGCCTGCGAAGCGACGTATAGAGAATCTTCGTTCGGGTTGTAGTGCGGATTCGGGATGAATGGGGAGTTGGGGTTCGGCGCGAAAGAGGAGTTCCTGCGCTGGGCAGGAGGTACGGGTGCGTTGAAAGGGCCGTTGTTCTGGGGGTGTTGGGCTTGAAAAGCGGGGCCGTTGTTCTGCGAGGGAAACTGTCTGGAATCCGGCTGCCGGAAACCAAAGTTGCCCTGAGGGTATGGTCCAGCGCCTGCAGACGGATGATGCCCTTGATTGTGGTAACCGTAAGAACGACCTCCCCGTCCACGGAAGCCGCTGCGATTGTGATTGAAGTTGTTGTTCGTGTTCGGATGATGGTTCTTGCGAGGCGGCGGGTAACCCTGCGTCCGACAGTCAGATAGACGTACATGAAACAAGGACGATCAGCCTTACCTGTTGAGAAGGATAGCGAGCCACCCAGTTAGACACGCGTGACCCATTCTGGTCATTGTTAGGGGCGTCAACTCGCTGGCGCTTGCGAGACGGCTCGCGTTCATCGTCGTGAGGCGCCGGGGCAGGTTTGTGATCGTCTTCCTCGAACGGGGACATCTCCTGGTCATGCGTCTCCGTGTTACGCATGGGGACCTGTTCGTCTGCAGGCGCGTGGGATGCGTCCCGCGAGGCATCGTAGGCTGTGTCCGAAGAGCCTTCGCCACCTTGTGCGTTCGACTCGTCGGCGAATTGACTTCCTTCGTCGGAATGAAGTGCTCCGTCGTGCGCGGAATACTGATCATCGTGTCCATCCCAGGCCTGACATATGCGCTTAAGGTCGTCTTGCGCTTCCTGCTGGCGATACGCAAGCTCCTTGAGCTCCTTGATCTCGATCTCAAGGTTCACAATCGTCGCCTTCTGCTCGTTGAAGTCGGAGACAAACGTCCGGACAAGCGTGAGAATCTCTCCAACTGTGGCGTCTCGGTCGTCGCTTCGTCGGTGAGATCGGGAGTGCGAGCCGCGCGAGTTGTAAGGCATCGTAGAGGACTTCGAACGGTCGTCGTGGTGGGAGGAAGAGGATGTTTGATGTCCGGAAGAGCGACGGGAGGGTTGCTGTAGTGGTTTGCCACACTTAATCAGTCAACTGCCCCGGCCCATCCTGTGCCTGCGGCGCTCACCTTGTGCTTCATAGATCCCGTATCGCCTTCCTTCTTAGCATTCTTGACGTCGTCCTTGGTGCTGTAAGTGGGTACCGAGGACTTGTTCTGGGTCACGGTGCGTGTTGACGCGGCCGAGGGCTTTGACGCGGTCACCCGCGACGCGTCTGATGGTTTTATCAGAGTTTGGTCTCACGCGTCGCGTCGCGCGTTTGAGCAAGCTCACCATTCGAACGGAGCGCCGACGCGCCCCAGTCCGACGAGGACGATGCCAAGTCGTCCTCTTGGTCAGAGCCCTTGGTCCAGTCGCCACCATGGCTCGCGAATTCGTCGACGGGTGCGATAGTATCCGAGTCGTCATGAAAAGAGTCCGACATTGTAGGGGACGAGTAGGAGGGGTGCAGAAGCGAAGAGAGGCAGGGGAGAGAAGGAAGGGGTAACTGCGAGAGAGGAGTGCAAGTGTGACTGTGGCGGAGAGTGGCTGGACGTACTTATACTATCGTCCTCGTGTATATATGCTATTCAAGATCGTAGAAGCCGATCCGGACGCCCGGATTAGGCCGCGAATAAGGAAATTCGATACAAAATTCCGCCAATCTACCGGAAACAAGGGGCGGTGGCAGAGCAGCCCCTTCGGCGTCTGCCTCGGCCACAGTGCGTCTTTCCCCTTCCCAGGCTTGCTTGAGCATGCGATGGCGACTGTGCCATAGCTTCCCGTCCTTCGTATCAAGCTGGCGCACGAGGGCGATCTCAGATGAGTGGATGCCTACTGTGGCCCAGTGTTCGTAGCAGAGGGCGAAATGGCAGCCTTTGCATGAGATGGCGTGTGATCGTTTCACAATGTGTTGCTCCGTTCGAGCGTAGTTACCGTAACAGCGTATTGTTTCCTTTCGAGGTTATTCAGCCAAAAGAGGAACAAGCGATAACATAGGAAAGAAACCTTTGGTTGGCGCCCGCGTGCCTGCCTCGTGAGCGCCACCGCCCCCTTGAACAGTCCAATCTCACGGTTCACGGCCGTGCAGGGTTCTTCTCTGCGTTGCGTATCAGCACGTTGGTGTGTCCCATCTGGGCCCGGGAGAACGTACGAAGGAGTTAATTCCCGCCACTCGTCGCCTTCCGTCGCCGTTCGGAGGGCACGGACCGCACGGTTGTACCCCTCTCTGACCTGGCTGTACGGGAAGCGTTGAACAGGCGTCATGGGCCTGGCACAAGCGCAGGAGCGGCCTTCTGCCACGCAGCCCGGACACATATGCACGTCCTCATCAGACACCGCCCCGTTCTCTGTAGAAGACGCGTTCCCGGGACATGCACGGCATTCGAAGAACGACACAAAGATGTCGCACTGGCAGTAGTCGCAAGAGAACGAGTCGGCTTGACTCTCGTCATCCGCGAATTTGGTAAATCCGTCTTGTTCGGGATGAAATTCCTCGACGAGCACGGCGCGTAGCAGCTCCGCGAGCTTCGGGAGATCGCCTGCTGACGAGCTCTGTCTTCTGGCGCCCAATGAGCCGGACGGCGCTTGATCTATCTCAGATAAGGACACACTGCTTTTTCCGATCCGTGGGTTCGGCCTCCACACGCTCGGTCGCTACGCGAACGGCGTGCCAGATCATACTCTTTACGCAGTACGTCTCCTTCCTACACACCCTAATGGAAGAATCGTAATCAGAGCAGCGCCTCGGAGAAACTCGCGTTCCGGACAATCTGCCTTACCTTCGATACAGAGGTACTTCATGAAAGAGCGCGGTCTCAAGCCCTTTCACTGTCATACGTGACCATGCTAGCTTGATAGAGAGGCCGCCCTGATTGACGACCTGATGACAACTCCGAGGAGGGACAAGGACGAAGTCACCGAGCCTTTGTTGGACATAATAGACGTCAAACGGTGCTTTCTGAAGTTCGTCGAGCGTAATCGTATGGTTCTCCCAGTCGATGAGTTGCTTGAGCTCCCGGCGAAAGTATGTCGCGACCTGGTAAGCATCACTGCTCTTCGTCATGAGCCAGAAAGAAGATCCGTCGTCCTCCGTAAAGACCATCAAGTTCTGACCGGACGACGCACACAGATCCTTGTGGCAAGGCGTGTATGTTCCACCTGTACCCAGATAACACATGATGGTTTCTGGTCGAATCTGCAGGCGTTAGCTAACGATTTCGAGCTGATGAAGAACCCTCACCTCTTGGGGCATATACTGGAACGCATCATCGGTGCCAGACGGAGCGAGATCTGATGGTATCGCGCCCCTTTGGGTTGCCCACTGATACCATTCATCCGGACATTGGGCGTCTTTAGCGTATAAAGTTTGTAAACCTACATGTGATGAGTGTCAGTGGTATTGACAATTTCAGGGTACGTACCGGTGTCGCCATTGCTGAGCGCACGACAGCGCTTGATGAAGTCTGCCGTGGATATTTTCCGATCGGTGCGGGCATCAACGTCTCGGACCTCCAGCTCTACCATCAGCGTGCATCAGAGTCCAACTCGGCGCCGTCGCCGCGTCAACTCTACCTTGCTGGCCGTGTTTCATGTACCAGTCCGCATTGAACATTTTCTTTACAAACGCTCGATGTTCATGCAAGCCTTCAATGACGAGAGGTATCCCGGAGATCGGATAGTCCGCGATATGCGCTTGCAGGTCTTTGGCGTGTATCGAGACGCGGGGTGCGGGCTTGAAGCCGCGACGGGCGAGCCCTTCACACGTCAGTTCCTCCCAGTCGTCTATCGTATCCATTGGAGAGCTACTTCGGTCGCTCATGACAGGTAAAGCACGTTCGTGGTGGTGATGGTACGGTATCAAGCCGCGCCGTTATCCCGCGCGTGAGACGCGCCCAACGCGTGGACGAGCGTGTGAAGTATCACGAGGTCGCGTCGCGTCAGTCACGGGAGCTTTTGCTGGACGCGCTCAGTTCGCGACTTGCCTCCCGCCGCCGTCATGTCGACCGTCTCGGCCGTCGAACCTGAGATCTGGGAGTTTGTCTCATGCGCAAAATGCCATCTACCGTACTCCTCCGACGGACATGGACCACCCTCCGTTCCCTTCTGGCTGACTGACTGTGGGCATGTAATCTGCAATAATCACATACGTACGACGACAAGACCCTCTCTCCCTCTAACATGGCTCTGAAGGTCGAAGGTAGAGGCAGATAGGTCATGCGTGAAGTGTGGTGTAACCGATATAGAGATGGTACCGCTACAACGAGAGGTGCGCCTTCGACCAACATCTTGTCTACTCTGCCTGATCATGCGCCCGAAGATGGACCAGCCCATGGCAGACTGGTTTCGCGCAATGCCATATGCGTTGGACTCTATGGCGCAGACAGCGAAGGTGCCTTGGCTTATGTCTTTATGAACCTGTTTCTTCATGACGATATAATTCATGTAGTTCCAATGGGAGATGCTGGCAACACTCGTGCGGTTCTATAAGGCGAAATGTATACAGCAAAGAGGCTTGATAGATCGAATGAAGGCAGAGTATCGGCAGCATCAAGAGCAGAAGAAGTGCGTATCCTGCCTACTCTGGCAAGCCTCCTCTCACTCAAGCGTGTTTCAGGACGATCAACGATCTGCGAGCGGAGAACGAGCAACTACGACGAACGATGGACTACCACACCGCTAATTCCGCTGTATCTATCAACTCCAACGGGAAGAGGCGCATGACAGACGCATACAGGTCTGTGTCGGCCTATTCCAATATGTCCCCGCCCATTGACCGCATACATCTGTAGAGCGGCGGGTCTATCAGAGGTGGGCGGATATTCGAGCCCACGATCTGCCGCGACTCCAGTCGGGCCCAGCCGACTTACAATCCCTCCTGGACAACCACAACCCGTCTTCTCGTCTCGAACGGGACAGCGTGAGGTACATGGGCAGCCGCATGAGAGACCTGGCTCAAGCCTCTTTCGCCAGTTAGTCATCCCCTATCTTCACCGCACTGTCATCTTGAGAGTTCTGCAGACAATACGCGTACAACTCCGATCCACATGCTCAACAGCCCGCACAGAATGATGGATTTGTCCAGCAGCAACAGAAGAGACGCTCAATGGGACCACCTCCCCCTCCACCGCCACAACGCACGAACGTCCAGCGTTCTATGCCGCCTCCCCCTGATCCACGAGCGCCACGGACTCACTCCCTCGTGCATCGATCGACTGATGCCATGCATGCACCGCAAGTGGCTGCTACGCCTTCTCGCTCCTTCCGTTTCCAGCCAGCCGCCACTCCCGTCCTGCCCTCGCAATCCGCGTCGTCTTCGCGTTACGCTCCACCTCCCCAACAAGGACGTTCATCTACATCCATTCAGGCCACCCCTCGCGGTGCGGGCGTGCATCAGACCCCGCGTGGAGGTGGCATGCAGCAGGCGCCTCGGGGAAGCATGCAACAGGCGCCTTCACAACGCTCGGGTCGCTTCAATCCTGCCACCAATGTCACGCCGGCCCAAGGTGGGACGTTACACAAGGCACGCTCTGCTAGTCTTCGTACGACAGCGCAACGTGCGCCGTTCGTACCTGGCGCCCAGTTCGGATAACTATACTTAGCTTCTTGTACATTTCTCGATCTCTGGGAACTCTTGGGACCTTGCTATCGTCGTTGCTATCGTACTCGATGTATCTCGTTTTCTGAATGCTTTCGTCGCGTGTACCCTTTGTCTTTGTTATCATCTTGCTGTATTCCTGTGTCTCACCAACATCCACTGTATCGCATACTGTACTACCCGTTTCGGAACGAGCGACGCCTGTCCCTCTTCATATGTCCATGCGGACATAAGGAAACCCTCACAAGCCAACCGTTGAATGACGTGACGCGCCGGTTGCGACTTCGCGGGCGCTTCGCCTTCCTTTCCTGACGTCTATTGAGCGCTTGAGCGCTTGATTGCGATCAAGAAGACGCCATGTCGTAGCGCGTGCCCGCAAAACACCGGAGCGAGCGTCCTCTCTTCCGCCCACGATGCGAACAACCGCTCATCCAGCAGCCGGCGGCGTCGACGTCGACGCGTTGCGCCTGGATACAGCAGCCGCCGCGCCTGAATCATCTTGCCCGTGATCAGTCGCGATCATGTGCGGAGCCGTTGGGCTGACACAGAGCTTGCATTTTCTCCCTGATACGCACCGACTCGGGATGATACTCGGCTGCGTATAAGAGCGTCCGTAGCACCCGCTTCATCTAACTGCGAATCGTCATGAACGTCCCTCCTTCGCTACTTGGCGGTGTTGGTCTAGCGCTGTCTGCGCATAGCCTGCTTGCTCTCAATGACTCTGTCTTTGGGATATCTGGCTTTCTGCATAGGGCTGTGCGCGGTGCAGGCGAAGGCGCAGTAGGAGTGCTGGCGCTTATCTCTGGAGGCTTTGTCGTTGGCATGCTAGAAGGAGCAGATGTCCCGATGTTAGGTGGCACATCTACTGTTCGCCTCGCCGTGTCAGGCTTGTTGGTTGGACTGGGGACGAAGGTACTTCAGCACCATACACTCTGATTGTCCCCCTCACCAAATGTCAATAGCTGGCCAACGGCTGCACTTCGGGACACATGCTTTGCGGCATATCGAGGTTATCAAGCCGGTGAGATTGGGTTTAATTTCGGTGTTGAAGAGGTCTAACCTATATGCGTAGGTCTCTGGCCGCCACGCTTACCTTCTTTTCTACGGCCGCCCTCACTGCTCGGCTACTTCACAATGACCTCACTTCAGCCGCGACCGGCTTCCCTGGCACTTCGGATAACGATGTACTTCTCCTCTCTGGTGCCGCATTGTCTCTGGGAGCTGCATGGGCCATATCTGCTTCGGTGCGGTTACTCCATATAGGCAAAATTGCGGGCTGACCGTGGAACAGAGACGTCCTACATCCGACCCAAATGCTGCTGTGACAGTTAACGACTCGGCACGTCGTTATCCTATCCAATTTTGCTCCGCTCTGGGCTTTGGCCTCTCCTTACGCGTCTCTCGCCTTGTCGACCCGAATCGCGTACTTGGATTCCTTTTGCTCCCAATACACCCATCTTTCGATCCGGCACTGCTATACCTCGCGGCCGGTGCGATGCCGCTCCTGACTGCATTGTACTGGGCCGGGCCAACGAGGCTGAAGAATAAGACCAACATCGACGCTCGATTACTCGTCGGCGCGGCGATATTTGGTGTCGGTTGGGGTATAGATGGGATTTGTCGTATGCGATCTCCTTAGATTGAAAGCTTGAAGCTGTGGCTGACTCAATATGTAGCCGGGCCGGGACTCGTAAACTTCGGACATGCCTTGGCGGTCGGGCAGCACGTCAGCGAATTTGGCGTGTGGCTAGCGGCTGCAGTGGCTGGCGGCTTGTTCGTATGAAAGGATGCAGTTGTTCGCACTCCGTATTGTCCATCACAAACTATGCGATTTGAACTCTATTTCGATCAACGGATCAGATTGTGAGGCCGAAACTGGGACACTGAGAGAACAACAAACAATGTGGGTAACTGCGAAACTACGAATGTGAGCCAGGTATGTAGATGAGAGAGACGGTATCGTACAGCACAGACATGGGCAGAGGTGGAGAAAGACAATAAGCGGAGTCTGGAGGCCACCCGAGAGGGAAGTCTGCAACAAGGAGTAGAAGATCCGGAACGGGAATATAAGCACAGGAGGTATCATGATGTACGCGTGAGGGTGATTGTCCGAAGACTGCGAGCCAGGGAGTTGAGAGTAGTGCAGAAAGTATAGCAAGTAGATGAGCATGATGAGAGTAAAGCAAAGGGAAAGCAAAGTTCGGAGGCTTCCTCGAGAGGGAGCCTACAACAAACAGCAATGCGACAGCGAGAGGCGTGCAATCAATCCACACACGGAGACAGACGAATCATCAATGGGTGAGGCGTGTACGCGGGTCATCGATGGAGCAAGGTGAGAGCAGGGAGCAGCTCATGCGACCGCGATGCGGCGAGGACGCGAGGACGCGTACGGCGTGAAGCGCTCGGCGCCACGATGCCATTCAGACACGCGACCGGAGCGCACAGCCGTGCTGAACTTAGCAGGCGCGGGCGGTAGAGCATGTTGTTGCGTGGGTAGGCGCGTGTTGAAGGCCGAGTTCCACGCGAGGGAATCGTTCTCGCCGTGTGGAGAGGCGGGCTCGTCATCGTCGGCGAATAACGCCACAGGTTTATTGTCCTCGTCGAGATAGATGGGCTCAAGCGGGGTATCGTCGGCGTACTTCGACGATGAAGAGGGGGCGCTGAGGTCGAGGCCCAAGAACCCGGACGTACAGTCTTCCAAACGCTCTTCGGTGCTGACGCCAGATAGGTCGATCCCGTTGAGCTGATCAGCGACACCATTAACAAGAGCGTTGCCGTAGAAGGTCTTGTTGAACCGGAGAACATTTGTCTTGAGCCCATCCGGAGACGTGCGGAGCTCGGCCGTGACCAGGCGCGGCGATTTCTGGAGCGCTTCCTGAACCACAGCCCTCTGCATGATGAGCACGATGCGCTGGTTTCCCAGCGCGTCCAACCGAATCACCGACCGCACGGGACTGTTCGATCCAGTGTGCGTGGCCTTGACTTGTTGCTTAAGCTTGAGCGTCGCCTGACGCGCAGCGTCTTGCGCACGCGGATCGTGCTTTGATTTGCCTTTCGTCTTGAGTGGCGCCAAAGAAGGCTTCAGAAGCTGCTTCTTCGCGAGCACAGGCTACAACGAGATACTTCTTAGCATCTCAAAAGCCGAAACGTACAACAATAGCGCACCTGAGGTTTGGGTACCCGAACCGCGATGACCTTGCCAGGGTGTGGTTGGGCCTGCGCCTTCCTGAGGCGCGCCGCAGCCGCAGTGGCGCGCTGCTTGGCGAGGAGCGCGTCTTGAACTGCTTGGTGCTGGTCCTTGCGTGATTGGGTTGCGGCGAGGCTAGAGGGCGTCCTAACCTTCCAGAGGTTGGAGGTCGACTTCTGTGGCGGTGGCGTCAGTATACCACCGCGAGCTAATCACCGATGATACGCACCGATGTCGAGGAGCTTGCAGACGAGCTGCTGCTGTTGACGTTACGCGTGTTCTTGAATCCGATAGACATGATGAGAGGGGAGGGGAGGGGAGTTCGAGGCCGGGGAGGGGACGCGACGGTGGTCGTGGTCAGAGGCAAGCTAGCAGCTGTGGTCGACGCGCTCCCTTCAACAACCGCAATTGCAAAGCCTCCGCTCGGCCCGGACCCGTGACCGAGGGTCCAACCACAGTGACTGAACGGGAACAAGAACAAAAGCATGCAGCCCGAGCCTTGACTCGCGTGCTGCTGTGCACTTGTCGACGCGTGATGGCTGGTCATTGTCTTTCGGTAACCTTATCTGGCGGCAAGTCCATGCTTCATCGCAAATGCACGCGCTTCAGACATGGCGAGGTAGATATGAAAGATAAGATGGCACGCATGTAAGTAGGTAAGTACCATCGAGGCAGGAGGCAGGGGGCTGGATGCGCGCTTTCCAGGACAGTTCTGCCCGAGTGATGGCTTTGTCCGTGTGGCACTCGATGACGTCAGACCGATGCTCAGTTGCTTTCCGCCGATACGCCCTTGGAACGAGCTTCCATCCCAGTCCGAACGTCTTCTCTACATTTAGTCCGACACAGTAGATCTCCGCGCACCGATCCATATTCTATATCTGTCGTCGGTCAACTATGGGCGATGTAACGAAGCTTGCGCCGCCGAAGGATCTCTCGGATGATGAGCGCAGAAACGTCTTCGAACATATCTTTCGTCGATTAGCTGGTCATCGACATACCGCCGAGCTTCATGCCATCTCTGAGCGATATGCTTCCTCTGCTTCACCTGAAAACGCTGAGAAGCTACATAACGACTATGTCCACGAGATAGATACTTGGGCTGCTTCTGTACTTGAATCGGCTTGGGCAGCTTGCGGAGAGCCTGGCGGAGGTATATTGGCCATCTTCAACATGGCTCGAGATCTTCGCTGACCAGTACCTAGGGCAATGCCCGAAATGGGATCCACTCTCTGACGACTCTACACACGGGCTCGCGCCTCTTCCGCCAACAGCTGCCCTTGAGAAGACGATCAACATGGTCCTCTTCGCCCACGTCACCTCTACTAAACGCTACTCAGCGCACACTCGTGCATTCCTATCAACATTCTGCACGCCAGACGAAGATAATATCGTCAGGACCCTTCGTAACCCCGACGATTCCATGCGCGACGCGGAAAAGCGAGTGAAGGATGAACAAGAGCGACACGCTCAACGGAACTCTATCATGCGCAAGGCGGGCATCGGCTTGGGCGCCGTCGCCGGAGGCGTTCTCGTCGGTGTCACAGGCGGTCTCGCAGCGCCGCTTCTAGGCGCCGGCTTCTCTGCTATCTTCGGCGCTTTAGGTATCGGCGGAACAGCAGTCGGTTTGCTCGCCACGGGTTTGGCTTCCTCCGGTGTCGTGTGTGGTGCACTGTTTGGCGCCTATGGCGCACGCAGCACTGCATCCATGGTCGAGCGGCATGTCCGCGAGATACGTGACCTGGCCGTCAAACCCGTACACGAGCCTCGCGAGTCACTTGCATTGCGACTCTGCGTGAGCGGATGGCTATCTGGCGCGAATGATGTCACCGCACCGTGGACAGTCTTCGAGGGCGATGATACGTTTGCGTTGCAATGGGTAAGATCGCATCGCACTCGTGGGAACTGGCATGATACTGACGTTGGTCGCAGGAGGTGCAAGCGTTGACTGAGCTCTCGGATGGACTCTTCGCTCTTGTCAAGAGCCAGGCTATGCAGTATGTGAGGGCGGAGATCATCAAGCGCACTGTGCTGGCCAGCTTGATGACGGCCCTCTCGCCCATAGCTTGGTTGAAGATTGGCCGTGTATTCGGTGAGAGCATCATCCCTTCGGCAGGGTACAGTTACTTATTGACATCGTCACAGACAATAGCTGGATGAACGCGCGACAGTACGCCCTCAAGACAGGTGCTGTGCTCGCAGACCTTCTCGCTCAACGGGCATTCGGCACCCGCCCGATCACCCTGACAGGTTACTCCCTCGGCGCGCTTGTCATCTTCGAGGCACTGCGCATCCTCGCACAGCGCCCGCCTTCGGAGACGGCGCATCTCATCCAGGACGTCTATCTGATGGGCGCGCCTATCCCGCTGAATGAAGCTTCTTGGAGTGCTGTACGGCGCGTCGTCGCCGGGCGCCTGGTCAACGCCTACGGCTCGAACGACTACGTCCTTGCAGTACTTTGCCGTGCATCAGAGCAGACGTGGACCGTAGCGGGTATCGGCCCAGTGAACGTCAAAGGCGTCGAAAACGTCGAGGTTGCCGGGGTTGACGGGCACTTGAAGTGGCGTGGGATGGTCGGCGAGGCACTGCTGGCGTGTAAAGCACCGGGCGTCAACGAGGAAGAGGTTGAGCGTCAACGGGCGTTGGCCGAGAAGTTGGCGAAGGAGCTGGATATGACCGAGGAAGACGCCGAGAAGGCGCTGGAGAAGGGTTTGCCTGACGAGCCCGCCAATGAGGCAGCAGCGCCGCAGACGCCCGTCGCATCGCCCGCTAAGTCAGCATCGCCCAAGTCAATTGGGTCACCAGGTTCTCCAGGGAGGCCGAGTACGCCTTATGCCGTGTATCAGTCTAAGCGGAAGCCCGCACCTACGGCCTAAGGTGGGAGAAGAGTCGAATATATGGCTTTCGATCCACGAGCACCTGTATAATCGAGTAATATAGTACAAGAGTCCATCCGTGAATGATCGAGTGTATGATAGAGCGATGCAATGTCCATGTCATGCGATGCGATGCAAGTAGATGTCCGTAGATGAAGCGAGGACGAGTCATGGTACAGGGTCTATGTCGAGCCAGTGAGGCCATCGATAATGCTAGTGAGGTTCAATCCGCCGAGGACACTCTGATGGAAGCATGAGCAACGCAGTATAACCTTCCAGCAGATGACACGTACCGAGACGGATGAGGAGTCTATGGGGCACTTGAAGCTAGCGCTTTCGGAGACTGTGCGCTTGACCGAAACTGATAACACCTTCACGTCAACCTGAAGGAGGCATTAGCCCTCCGTAGGGAAAGCACTAAAGTGAGACTTACTGTGAGCTTGTAATCGACGTCCAAGTTGTCCCCGGCTAAGCATTTTGTCAATATGTCCTTGATGATGGTCTGATCCGGGTCGATGCTGCCAACGTAGTCGATTGCGATAGGGAATGTGAAGTTCTTGTTGGTGAAGGAGGGTAACTCGGTGTTGGATAACGTGCCGTTGCCGATGTATGTGTTGTTGATGGGGTAGAATATCTGAGCAACATCGGTCAGTAAGCAACAGACGAGACGTGAATCAACATACTTGGGCGTCAAGACCGGCGAGGTTCACGTTGAGGTAGCTGGGGTTATTGATACTGTACAGGCGTAAGCGATAAGTACCTACCTGATGATCATGCGACATACTTGATAGGAATATCCGCATTGATCCTGATCCCGCCACCCGCGATGCTCTCGAGCTAGATGCAAGGTGAGACATATACTGGTCCGCAACAGCATGAATGCTTACTTGATTCGAGTCTGCCAGTTCGGCAGAACCGATAATCACGTTTGGAGGGCGGACATACTAGTCAGATATTTGAGTATTGTGATGCGAAGGAAGAGAAGAAACACCTACCAGCACAAGGGCGAGCACGATGCCCACAAACATCCAGATGCCCGTAAACAAAAAGCACCCCACGAACCGACCACAGGTTCGCAAGCCGCCCCCCTATGGTTGCATTTGCATCAGTTCTACTACAGTAAGCATGAGATCTCACCTTCGCCCATAGATTACCCTTCTCATACTGGTATTTTCGCAGATTCGAGCTACTGATTCATGAGACATTATTCTTTCTCTTGATGCCAATCTACGCACTGTGTGACATGTGCCTCCTTATTAAACTCTGCTGCACTGAATGGTTGATCCTTCTCTCCGGGTACGACGTTATTGGTCACAGGTCGGGCGCTTGCGTCGTAGTAATCATCACGATAGCCTCCCTGGTCGTATGTCGCATGTGGGGCGCGCTGCGTCTCCGAGTAGGGGTCATAATATTCATCCTGACCCTGATTATGGTGGACCGGTGTTTGGTTGTTATAGTAAGAGTAAGACATGGCGTAGGCAGACGGAGGTGGTGGTGGAGAGGAGGCAAGAAAGGTGAATGCACGGCAGCTGCGCAGCGGCAATACATGCCGGCGCGTTCGCGCTGCGGCCTGGTGACGACACCGCTTTCTTCCCGCTCCCATCTTCCCGGGGCCCTTTCTCGGCTGCGCATGCTACTGATGCCTCCCGACTTGTGTTGAACGCTACTAGACTGAACTTGATGGCTACTGTCATCTTCATAGCTCTACATTCAGTGTCGGAGACGTTCCGTGCAAGTTATGATTTGCGTCTTAACGCAGTGCTCCTTGCTATGCATTGGTCATTTCTGTCGGTGATACGCTCCCCTACAGGTACATATGACCCCACTCGCGGGTATAGGCGTCAACTATTCACACCTAATTAACGCATGCGAGTGCCATACGGGTGCTACCATCATTTCTGTCTCCGCAGACAGTACACGACAGGCTGTGCATTAATGAGTGTCTCATGTGCTGATATTACACCCTCTTCAACTACTCCAGCTACGGATTCCCGACGGACCCAACTCAACTCATACGCTACGCGTCTACCTCTGCTACCGAGCATCCGTCAGCCTGTTCCGCCTGTCCAACTTAGCACGCTTCATCCTAAGAATACTGGCCTTCGTGACCGACATGTCATTCCACTCCCGGCGGCGACCGTTCGCTGAATCTAAACCTGAGGAAAAAGCTGGAGACGGACTCTGGGGTGCTTATCTGGACGCAGTCGATGCCGAGGACAAGGCTAGTGTCGAAAGTTGGAATGGATCAACGACAGGAATTTTGACCTTCGTACGCACGCAGTATAAAGTGGCCGTATAATTCGACTTACACGCAAATTCATAGGCTGGGTTGTTTGCTGCAACAGTGGCGGCTTTCGTGATAGAGAGTTATCATAGCCTCTCCCCCGATACGGGCGCCCAGACAGTCGCTTTACTTGCGCAACTGATCTCCAAGACGGATTCAACTCCAGTTGTTCCCGCAAGCGATATAATTGCCGAGCCATTCCATGCACCTGGAACGGCTATCCTCGTCAACTCTCTTTGGTTTCTCAGTCTCGTCATTGCTTTGATCTGCGCTCTCCTCGCAACTCTTATCCAAGAATGGACAAGAGACTATCTGCGCGATGTGCAACATCGCACTTCAGATATGACTGTCAAAGAGTACGCCTTCAACCATATTTACGTGCGCATGGGCATCGAAAGATATGGATTGGATCATATGGCGACCCTCATCGTAGCCCTGATGCACATTGCCGTCGTGCTCTTCTTGATTGGGCTCATTATCTTCTTATTTCCCATACACATTCTACCAGCGGCGGTGGTTACTACCGCTGCGAGCATGGCAGCTCTGATCTATGTCTCGATCAGCGTCATACCCCTCTTTGACAACACCTGTCCATATCGCACCCCGCTCTCATCGTCTTTCGCCATCGCGCATACATTCATCAGACTATCGAAACTGGCTCTGATTCAACCCCGCAAGTTGATAGATCTCGCTCGTACGCACCCGAGTTATAGAACAAACGAGTTTTGGCAGTTGTGGAAACTTCCTGCCCGACGAATCTACCACGATCTGCCCTCCAAGCTCCGTGCGCTGTACTTGGATGATCGGTCCATCGCTCAGAATACGTTCATGAGACAGGAACGGATGATGTTTGTCTGGCAGCGCACGAGCGGCTACATTCTCTCGGCCCATGGACTCTCGGCTCTCCTGGAATACCTTCCATCGTACCTGCTCAACCCAGTCTCCACGAACCCGGGGACCAACTTGAACCCAGTCTCTCGCGACTTTGACAAGTTCTGGGTGTACCTGCGCAGTCGCAGATCATTCTTCGCTTCTGTTGTAAAGAACATGACGAACGTACAATCATCAATGGCGGGGAAGGGTGCTCTTCGTCTGCTACAGTTGATCCTACATGCAGAGTCCAGAGTCGAGATCCGATGGTATTCGACCTCCAACCTCTCCGCGTCCCATCTTTCGTGGTATCATGATGGAATCGAGATTCTAGCGCCCATATTTCCGAAATTAGTCCGACGGTTCAATACGCTTTACGACATCTCAAGCGAGGACGAGCAGTTGGACATGGTCGTAACCCTCACCAGTCTTCGCTGGTCCATCCTCCAGATCGCGACAACCAGATACTCACTCTGGCGCTCGCTCTTGCAGGACATTGACACCATCAAATGCTTGCGATTACTCCCTTTGAGTCGAGAGGATCGATGGATTAGCGAGACCGACGGCAATCTGAAGATCCTCAGTTCGTCTACGACGTCGGAGTTCATAGTGCTCAAAGACCTACAAAACGAACATCTCGCACCCCGCAATGCATTGACACTGCTTGCACACATCATATTCTCCCGATGGCCTCTGGAAACACCTAATATTTGGAGATGGATCAAGCCGGACCATCCATACGTGAAAGAGTCGTGGGGAGGGACATGGTCCTGGCATAAAATCCACCAACCCCACCCCCGGAGCGTTGCGCGCCCTCACGCTTCCGCACTGTTTCTCACTGTCTTAGAGTCCGCAGGGCTGGGAGCCTGGAGAGACCCAGCCTCGTCGACTTCGGCTGTCCCAAGGGGAATGCAGCTTCATCCCTTTGTGGTAGATGCGCTGCGCAATCTTCTGGATCTTGTCTCTCTCCCGCCGCTCCGCGATCAAGTTCTCTTGAGCGACGATGAGATCAAGAGCTTGGGCCTTATCATCCCTCATCCGAATAGGCCAGCCCACTCTGACACGATCCCAACCCTTCCAAATCATCCTCCTGATACTCCCCAATCGCGAGCATTCGCTGAGGATACACCAGAAGTCCGTGTAGACTCGTCCGCGCCCACAGCTTCTACGCCGCACAGTGATGGGCACTACAGTGCATACGATGACGTTCACGACGGCAGCATACCGCTGCACCTAGTCGGTGTCAATTCATCGCTCGCTAGAAGCGTCGACGTCCCTCCCACCACCCTATCACCGACTCTAGACTCTGGTAGCAAACAACAGAGTCCATCTCGTTTAGATCACCCTCTCATACTACTCGACGCCTCACCTTCATCTCCTCACGCCAAGTCCCGTCGAGTCTCTGGACTGGCACCACGAGGCCCGCGACGCTCGCCCAGCCTGGCACCGCAAAACACGGGGGACAGGCCACCTAGTTACGGTACAGCCTACTTTACAAGTAAAGAAGGGGTGCTCGACGAATCGGATGCACCAGTGCTACATAACGTAACAAGATAGTGATGATATGGACAAAGATGCAGCAAATACATAGCGATAGCGATGAGCCCGACGAAAGCAACTACAAAGCGACGAACGACAGTGAACAGACAAACCAAGATGAGAGTTAACATGAAACATATAAGCATACGAGAAGAAGAGAACCCATATCACATAGCCAGACTAGAAACCGCCCCAGGCCCTCCCGCCAACCCCCGGCCGCGCACGCTGGATGCCCTGCATCTCCGACCACAAGCTCGTGCGCCCAGCAACCGGCTGGCTCGCAACAGAACGCACAGGACTGTCGTCCCTATCCTGCGCTCGTTCTTCATCCCGCGAAGAACGCCCTCGATCGCGTGTACCCGGCCAGCGGCTACGTACAGGGCTTGCACTTCTTCTCGAAGGAAGAGGCGGCGAAGGACTGGCGTCGCGCTCCTTGTCCCGAACGCGATCTCGTCGTGTGTGCGCGAGCACCGGGCTAGCGCTGCGTCTGGTACGTGTTGGACTGGCGGCGCGTGGAGCCGGGAAGACAGCGCGACCAGTTGGGGTAGTCGTCGCTGGGCGTGAGGCAAGTAAACTCGCTATACCCGATCTCCTGGGTGCGGGAGCCTTGACAGGCTTCTCGGGCTCGGCCTCCGTTTCGGCCTCGGTCTCGCTTTCGAGCACCTGTGGTCGAGGAGGCGGTAGAGCGCGACCGAAAGATGGGCGGCCGACGGGTTTGACACGGCTTGCGGCGGCATGGACACGCGCGAAGGGCGAGGGCGCAGAAGAGGAAGAAGACGCTGCATTGGCAAGACCCAGCCCCATGTTGCGTGCACGCGCGACGGCACGAAGTGCCATCTTTGTCCGGAGAGCTTGAAGCCATTTCGCGTACGCTCGAGCTATCAGATCAGTGTGTGAGTTCGAGTTCGATGGTACGGATGAGATAGAACGTACCGAGAACAGCCTTGCGCTCGTGCTCGCGTGCCTCCTTCGCCTGCAGCGCACGAGGCATGGCGGCCCGCCACTTCGCCCATGCGCGACCCTTGAGTTGCGCAGCATGGAACCGAACAGCAGGAAGTGACTGTATGCGCCGTTAGATCTCTATAATAATATGAGGAGAAGTGGATTGCGTACTGTTGTTCGTGAGCGCCACACTTCGAATGCCTTGTACATGAGCGCATGTCGGTTCTGCGCTGCGAAAGTACGTTCAAGGGGTGCGAGGCGTTGAGCAGCAAGTACGCCGCGCCATTGCTCGAAAGCCGAGGCCAGCCTGAGGCGACGAAATTCATCCTCGGCGTCGCGTAGGACATGCGCACGACGGGCACGGGAGCGCCATGCGTAGAAAGCTGTACGTAGACGTTCTATACAAACAAGATGTGAGCATACGCACGGGACTGCGACGTATGAAAAGTTTACCTTCTTGCTTGACAGCCCGATAGCTCTCCATGAGATTGAGCATCTCAACATGCCTCCCACAGACAGCCTTCCACTTGCTCATCGCCCTCGTCAACACCTTCGCGTCCGCACGCATCGCAACATCCAGTTCACGCTCCTTGACTGCAATGACACGGGACGTCCAAACGGACAGCGCCTCTCTCGCTTCCCTCTCCATGACCATCCGCACAACCTGTGCCTCCGCCTGCCGAAGCTGCGCCGCCTTGCGCGCCTTCGTGCGCCACAATTCCCACGCTTTGCGCGCCTTTGCGCGGTGCCATTCCTGGAGCTTGCGCTCACGCTCGCGGTCCTTCATTTGCGCTTGCCATACGCTCATAGCGCGTCTGAGCACGAAGAAGCGCTCAGCGTGTCTCGCTTGCCGTGCACGCTTGAGATGTGCACGCAAAGCAACGCGCCAGGTGTACAGCGCTTTGTACTGCGTCTGGGCAACATTATATTGCTGCGCGAGCAAGCTCGACTGTCGTATCATCGTCAGCCGCGTCGTCCAGTGCATAAGCGCGGTACGAGCTGCGGGAGAAGTAACGCGCGACGCAAAAGACAGCGCTTTCTGTTCGCGTTCGCGGTTCTGCCGGAGCTTGCCGGCCCAGACGGTAAGCGCGCGCTTAACCAGCGCTATGTCGCGCAGGCGCTCGAGGAGACGCCCGCGGGCACGGGCGCGCCAGATGCGGATGATGGCGATTCGGAGGACGTCGTCTGTCCGTGCGACGTGTTTCGATGCCTTGCGGTCGAGTGCCTGAGGGAACGTAGATCAGTAAATGACTTCTACGAGATGGGAGGAAAAGGCAGCACCTTCAACTTATCAACTCTCGCCTTCCACCTGTGCAGCGCATGCTTCGATGCGAGCTTATCTGCGTGCACATCCGCACCGTCAAGAGACTCCATGCGAGCCCTCCATGAGACCATAACCTCCCTCCTGATTCTCCTGCCAACCAGCGCCTTCACCGCCTCCTCCTTGACCCTCAACTCCCTCTGCTTTCTCCACGTATCCCACGCCTTCACCAAAGCGCCCTTGCCAGTCTGACTTGCGAAAGCGTCCGCTCTTGCATCCAACGAGTCCAACTCAGTGAGCTTGGCGCGCCAACGCCCAAATGTGCGTGCGAGTAAGGTATGCGCGTATATCCGGTCAGCCTGAGCGCCCTCCGCCTTCTCCCTCCATATCGCCCACGCCTCCTTCATTATCCGCTTGTCCGCCCCTGCTCGTATCGAGCGCATCTTCCCGCGCATCTCCGTACGCCAGCGTTCCTGCTTTCTCCGTGCAGCGACAGCTTGCCATGCTGTGAACGCACGCGCGAGAAGACGAGCGTCTGCCGCTTGCGCGACCGCTTGTTCGCGCTCGCGGAGGGCGGCCACGCGGTTATGCCAGTGTGTAAACGCTCGACGAACAGTGAGGGATGTGCGAGCTGCAACTATTTGGGCAGAAGTCGTCTAAAGTGTGTGTTAGAGATATATACATCTTATACGTATTGGATTGGATACATACGACAGTCCACTGGTACCCTTGTTTCCATACATCCCAACATCGTTCGACAAGACGATCCTCGAAGAACTCTCGCGCAATCTCCTCATCTTCTTGTCGCTTAATCTTCGCCCAAGCATCCTCGTCGTCAGAGTCATCCTCCTGTAGAGCCTTCTTGGCGGAGAAGAACGGTTGGGGAGGGGGTTGTGGTTGTGGTTGTGTTCGTGGCGGAGGAGGCTGTGGTTGGGTTCGTGAAGTGGGTATCGCGCGCGTAGGTTTGGGTGGTGAAGATGGTGGCAACAAGCTGCCTCTTCGGGAGTATGGGTCGTATTTCGACTTAGCGATAGGTGTCGCTTCTCGTGCGTGGGTGTGGTAGGAGGGTGCGGGCGAAGGTTCTGGTCGAAATCGGCTGGGCGCGGGCGTGAAACGTGGTGGTGCAGCGTCGAGCGAGTCCGTCTCCGTCGCTTCTGTCCTTTCTGAGGGACTGAATGGTCGAGGTATGCTCTCGCTGGCACTGTCGTCGACGTCGTGCTGAAGAGCCCGGAGTCGTTGCAGTAATCGTGCAGCTCCTGGTGCTGGTGTCGTGGCGGATTTGGCCGGAGGTACAGATACAGGCTTCACGGGTGCATCATAGCCATACTGGTGCTTCACATAAGCCCATTTGTCGCTCCAGCTGGCTCCCTTGACGCTGCCAATCTTGAGCAGCTTGGCGTAGTATACAGCCTCGTCCGCCCCGTCAATGCCTCGTGATTCGAGTTCAGCGCCGTATGCATCCATAAGCGCCATCCATCCGCTAGCCCCACGCTGACACCGGCGTACGACAGCATCCAGAAACGCGATGTCCTCGCGCGTCAAGGAAGAAAGCTCGGCTGAGACAGAGGGAAGGGAAGAGCCAGACGCGAATGATTTCCCGTTAGCATTTGTCGTTGACGTTCGGTCCGAGTGTGCGAGAGACCGTGTAGATGGGGCTAGGGTGCGCGAGGAGGGTGTGTGCGCTGTCGGCCGGCGCGGGGGCGTCGAGGACCGCGCGGGCTGGAAGAAGGACATGACCGTCCGAGATCAACCAACGACAAACCACGTGCGCGCGTCTCGGCTTGCGTGCTTATGTAAATACTATTGTTAGCGAACCACCCCCACTGAACCGATCATGGTTTGCCACAATATCCTTATGCATCACTGTCTATGCATAGATTCACATCTGAATGGGTAGAGACAATCGAAATATCTTGCATCGCAGCCCTGGGCCCGGTTGCACAGATATCCAATGCGCGAGTTACCCAAAGAGGTATGGGCTTCATCAATGGTTCTCATTACAGTTATGGACATCCAGTATCGGATCGACGAGAACTTGTCATGACGGTGAGAGGAAAGAGGAAGTGGCGGGGGCGCACAGCGCGCGACTGGCCGCGATGAACAAGTGCCACGCGTGCACGTGGGCCACACAGCACCTTTCCTCCTCCCGCCATGGCGCCCAAAGAAGATCTCAACAAGGCTGTCTGGGAACAGTCCGACTTCCCAATTCTATGCGAGACATGTCTAAGCTTTAATTCTCTCGTCTGAATGTCAAAGCATGAATACGGACGCTCATGCGGAACCTGCGCCAGACCCCTCATCGTCGTCCGCCGGAATCCCGAGCAATCCGCATACTTCAAAGTGTCTACGACTTCTGACACACTATCTGGGAAGAACGATGGCATCTTGTAGACCTGAGCTTTTAGTCTCCAAGCATGACTATGACACAGATAAATCACGCTCCGGAAAGTTCGGCGTATTATCGAGGTGGAGAAGGCTCGCATGTACGAACTCAAGTTACGCGCGGTATGCTATCTGGCTTGATAATCAAGAACCGAGTCTATCGATGACCGGATCTCGAGCTTTGCTCGAGCTGGACTTACGCTTGTTGATGGCCCCAAGCACGTTGCGAGGCGGGTTTCTGGATCGTAGCCACGAGTTGTAGGGCACTAGCCTTGTTCTCACCCTCATGTTGACCATACCGTTTGCAGATACATATCTCTATCTACTTCATCTATTTTGTGCGTCATACGGATGTGAGATATCGCGAAGGCGACTCTCGGTTACACGCTTCACACGCGGCGAACTATATGAGAAGC